TTCTCTCTCTCTCTCTCTCTCTCTCTCTCTCTCTCTCTCTCTCTAAGGGAAGGATAAGCGCAAACACAATTTTAGAGACAATGTCACATTGACAACGGACAAAAGGAAATGTTGACTCGTTATAACTATCACATATTTTGCCTCTCGATTATCCGAATTTCATAACTCTAACCACGAAGCCTGCGACAAAGTGGAAGTTTTAGGTAAAAATCATATTTTATTAGCCATTTTATAATAGGTTAGATAGACTGTTTTTTAAAAATATTCTCCACTGAATACTCTTTTGTATGGGTGGTTGGTGGGTGCGCGGTTGGAGTCTGCTTCTTCTTTCCTATTAAACATATGTCGTCCTTATCTCTCCTTTTTCCTTTCTTGATATCTGCGGCACTGATATGACCTATTTGTGTTGCATGTGCCGTGAACTCTAAATAAAACATACTCTTCTCTAAATCTAACACCAAGCAGTTGTCTGCTATGACAATCCATAGTGCGCCCTGCAAAGTAACGCAACGCTTGCAAAGCCTCAAATAGATTACAGAAAGTGGGAGAGGCGGGTGCAGGGCGATGACAAAGAATACTGAACACTAAAACGTTTAAAGGTTATTTTCAGCCCTAAACAGAGCGAGCTGTTTCTGCCCCGACTCAGAGTAGCACGCGACAGATTATAATGTCACTCTGTAGGCCTATTTATTTATCCTTTAATCACTTTGACCCCAGTCGCACGCAACCATTATCCTGGCGCTGTAAGCACGACCTTAGATTCACCCACTCAAGGTATTTTGAACAGGGCAAGACCACTTAAATGTTGGGGTTAAAGTACCCCAAAACGACCAAGAGGAATTTACAACAATCATCGTCATCCAAACGGATGTTAAACAGTTAACAATAAACCATACGCATTCTACAAAAAGCTTTCGACTTTTGCAAGTAAACACACTTTTAAGAATCTAAGAGGCCCTAATGTTGTTTTCAGCCCCTGTGCCAGGTAATTCGCTGATACCCCCCCCCCCCCCCCCTTACTCCCTTCACTGGCCCTTTACTGCTGCTGTTCTCCACTAAGGCACTTGGTTGTTGATAATATCGAAGTAAAGCTTGCCATTTTGGCACTGCTGCCAAATTGACAACAAGAGCCAAATTCAGCAATGTAAACAACTATGCCTTACCTCTATCAAACGCAATACAAATTTGTAATTTAACTCCCTTCATTATGATATTGCAAACACACACACACACACACACACACACACACACACA